CAATATATGCAGATGTTGCCGCATGCGCTCATCCTTCGTTAGAATGGCGTCAACAATCATCTGCATAATCGATGGCGCCATATTGAGTCCAAACCCCATGCGGGTCAGGCAAATGATAAGCACGGTTTGATAGGGCCACAGTGATTGGTTATGAAGGTATCGAAGATCCAAAATAATTTGATCCTTTGTGCTTCGGTAGTAAAGTTCTCGATAGTCGAGCAACCTTTTGTTTGTTGTGCTGGAAGCCATTAGCGGATCAGATTGGATAAGAACCAACCACCCGTTATTAATCCATATTCTTCCGCACGAATCTATACTCCGGCAATAAGCTTTCTGGCGGTTGATCGTCTGACCATTTCAAATACCGTCCAGGACTTTGTGCGCTGGTTCCGCACGAAAGTCAGGCCGTTCCAGCTCCAAAAGATGACCTGTTTCAGTGAAACGCGCCCGACCTCTTCGTCAACACGAACACCAAATGATGAATTCAGATCATAGCCGAGCATTTGTTCAATAGCTACTGCAGGCCCATCGATGATTGCGGATGATCACTCCACAAGAGGTTAGCGAGCCCCCGCCAACAGTCAGAACTTGTCCCACGTGTCCAAATTTTTGCGCACAAGGGTTGTGCATCAACAAGCGCGAAGCGCTTCTACGCCGTTAATCCGCACGCTCACTGCGGGTCATGTTCAGCGGCGATTGGGGAATAAAGATATTCACTCCCCTGCCCGTTTCCTGGACAGCTTCTTGCTAAATGTCTCCGTATCCTTCGCACGGCTTCGGCAGTCTTTTGGTTCAATATAGCACCTTAGTTGGCGGTGGGGTTTCCACAGCTGCTGAGGCCGGCTCCGCGTCATTTTTTAGAATAATTTTCGTCTAGCCCCAGCTCATTGAGCCTTGACGATGCTCGTAGCAGTCGAAAATTTGGATTTGGTTTGCTCCACCGAACGGTGCTTCCTCAAATCGGCCAGAAAGAAATTTTAAATGCCTCCAGGCGACAAGGGGTCCGCAAAAATGCTGCGTATAGATTTAAGCTGCTGATTCTTTGGTGAGTCTAAGAGGGATAACCAGTGCGGGATCTTTAATTTTACACAGCCGGCAGAATTTGGCCTTTTCCCACCACTAGCCGTCGGGTATTAACTTCAAGTCGAATCTGTCCATGTAATAAACAGAACAGTTAAATGAGTCGACTTAAACAGTGTAAGGACGCAACTCTTTCCGTCTGAAAATGTCTATGTACACCAGCACGGGTGAAAGCCAATAAGCAACCTGCTTTTTATGGAGCCCAGACACACCTCAATAACGCGACTTTGCGTGACTGCACGAGACCGTGAATATTAAAAGTCACGGAATTTTTGAATCTTTTCTTTCCTTTTATGCGAGAATTCGTTTCTATTTTCCCCACAAGGAGGTCTACTCAAACATGTGTACCCACAAAAAATTGTTATAGTCATAAGAAATTCTATATCAAATCATTGAGTGATCACCACATCACCTCAAATTCTGCCTAAATATCCCTAAACCGTCTTAAGGCCAAAGTGACGGGAAAATCCCAAATGTATCTGTAATAGTCTGAAAATTTAAAATCTCTGAAAATTTTAATTTATTTCAGGTTTACAGCCACATCACACTGAAACACTGATTCCCGTATGATCATTAAAGTAAAGCAACATTGAGACTGATCAGTTCCGAGATGGGTGACTGCCTGGGGATATCAGGTGCTGTAAGCTTGGATGTTCTAAATCGAATTGTTAATTAGAGGTCTCAATTCTTATTCCCATTGCATTAGTGAGATTCATTTATATGTAAATACTGTTGGGAAATGTATGAATCTACCTCTTCTTCCCCCAGCTATGGGTTAATTAGTAAGACTTGTATCACTAAACTATTATTATCTCCCCAAAAATATTCTTACAATCTAAAAATATTTTCTGGCTTTAAATAACCTGCAAAGAGTTGATAAGCCATAGAAAATGAATAAATCAAAATAATTTAATTCAATGATGATTGCCAAATGAACCTTTTGTCCAAATTCTGACAGTCATAGACTTAGGAGCCTAATACAAGAGAAGGTCTTAATAATGGATGAGGTCTTAATTTTTGTCAATATTCAGTAAAGAGTGGCTCTAAATCAATGGTTATCAAAATTTTTTTCTGGGCCGCATTTTAAGAATAAAAATTTGCTCATGCCTCACTAAATTTTAGATGATAAAAAGTACATTTAAAAATTAAAAAAAGAGAGGGTTAAAGGGAGATAACTGTGGATTTAAATTTATCATTAAATCCAATTTACAGGTTACTATATTCCTAATAATACAATGCAAAAATATCACAAAGATAAAATCGGTCAATAGTAATTTATAATTATTTATACTGGGACTCGTGCACGTAATTACAAGTAATCCATGATAATATTTTAAATACTGAAATCGTATTTATTTTTGGCATATACATTTTTTGAAACCGTTTCTAAATCTGTGATTGTCTTTAAATCATTCTGCCTCACCTGCTATCCTCTTCCACTGCCCCTATGAGGTGTGCCACACTATTTGGGAATTACTGGTCAAAATAAAGAGGGTGGTTGAAAAATCATTTAAAAGAGACAAAAACTGCATATTTAATAAATATGAGGACCTTAATAAGATCAAGAGAGTCTGAAAAATTTCTAAAAACGAATGAAATAAATAAAAATAAGTAAGAATAAATGTTCCCCTCACCCTGCAAATTCTATTAGGTGCTTAAGAAGAACTCTTTTGATATGGTATATGCATCTTTGAAACTTTGTGACTAGGGTTGAGATCTTCCATAGATTTCAAAAATCTAATCAGATCAAATGCATTTTCTGTAGTTTTTATCCTACAAATGCTTTCAAAGTGACTGAAACACAAGCCAGTGATGCCCCATTTGAGAGTTTCTTACCCAAACATTATGCTAGATGAAGCACTCCGCCCCCCCCCCCTTCACTCTGTCATAACATTAGGTTTTTTGCATGCAGTGGTTATATTTATTACTGCTACAGGAGTGTCAGAAGAAAAGAGTTTTTTTTTTTTTTTAATGACCTCAAAATTATTTATGCCCTCATTTCTCCAAGTCGGCAGTTAAAATAAATTTTTGTATTTTTTACCACGTATCCTAATATATCTGAAGAGATGACATATTTTTTTGTGTTGACATGGCATGTAAAATCTCGTGGGTTGTGGAGACGTAAATATCATATATGAAAAAACTGTAGGTTTTAATATTAGTAAAGTGAACTGTAATTATTTTGAACGAAATTGACTAATGTATAATTTTGTGCCTCATGATATGTATGTGTGTTTGTGTCTGTGTGTGTGTCAAATCACATAGTCCACAAAGATATATATCATACAATCAGAATTAAGATACCATTATGTAAATGATCATTTTCACCTTGTAAAATTAAATTTATAGGATTTTTCAGTCAATGGATGATAAATTTTTTAAATATTTAATATTTTATGTTGTGTTATTGGGATTCACTTGGATTATATACCAGCATGTATATATATATATATATATATATATATATATATAGGTGAGTGTGTGAGATAAAAAGACAAGGGGAAAAGCTATCCGATATATTTCAGCCTCTGTGGGACTTTATCAAGGCAAAAATAAGGATTTATTTTGTTGCATGTGTTTATATACAAAGGCAAGGATGTCAATGATTTATCAAGATTTTTACATTTGAGGAAGTTCATGAATGTTCATCAGATGGTTGAAATGCCATTCAAAACATGTGGAGGACACAAAGTGTTATAATTCAAAATCTGGTAAGGTAAAAGTAAGTGAGTGATATTCAAGAAATATATACAGATATTTTTAAAGTGAATATTGTTTAAATTGGGATCAGATTGTTATAGTTTCGGATGTATGTGCTGTACATCATCAGAAACACAACGTGATGGATTTAACTGTTTTCTTTTGATTTTTTGTGGTTGTGTATATTGGTTTGGGAAAGGAATAAATCTTTCAGGAAAGGTGAGATTGGAAAGAATCCAGAGCATAGACTTATATTTTGATAAGATTCGATAAGTGGCACTCTGAAAAATTTTCCTTCCAAGTAAATTACATTCTCATTTGATATGTGTGGCATTTTTTAGATCAAAATTGTGGTTGAATTTATTTCTGTGTATGACTAGTTCATTTGATAAATTGTTATGTATAAGGTTCCTTTTGTGTTCATAGATTCATTTTTGAATGTTTCCCCAGTATATTGTGAAGAACAGTTGTGGCAATTTATTTTATATATGCCTGCATCTGATTTATTGTTATGGGTGTTTTGGCTTCTGATCATATCCATGGTTTGGGAAGTGGTTGTGACTATTTAGATGTTGTTTAGATAGGATAAGTTGTTTTAGATGATGGAACTTATGGTTTTGGTAGATAGCATTGTTATGAATAATCAAGTGTGGTCTCCATTTGTTTTGTTACTATCCCCTTTGAGAGAGCTACTTCTGTTTACTGAGACTATAAAAGAACACTATACATGAACCTTGTATTCTCAGTTGAATAAAGCTTTCTTAATGCCTACACCTGCATACTTTTGTCATTACAAGTATTATGTATGTGTTTTTCTCGAGTTTATTGTTGTGGATAATGCTGTTATCTTTGTTGCAGTAATGAATTTTATATGCTTTTCTCTTTGCATTGTGGATGAAGTGATAAGGGTATTGGAGGTTTTTGAATGTGTTTTCTATAGGTGTTACTTCTTTGGGTAGTTATTGGAGGCTGCAGATTCTTAATGCTCTTAGGTAGAAGCCTATAATTATACCAGATTTAATCATATTAGCATGGTGGAAATAGAATTTGTCCAGGTCATTCTTGTTGCTAGCTTTTCTGTAAATGTCAAATTTGAGTTTGTTATTGTTTTTATGTAACAAAATATCTAGGAAGGGAAGAGCTTAGTTGGCTTCTGGTTCAAAAGTGAAACAAATAAAAACACTTCCACTTGTGAATCAAGTGAAGTGTGTGAATATTACCTTTTCCAGTTCCTGGATGCTTTCTGGGATACAGCAGATTGTAGAAATGGCTCTCAGTGCCTTGGCTCGTATTCTTAGCAATGTCTTCATTGTGCAGATGTTAAACAGTGAACGAATTGTACCTTCCTGGAAAATTAAATTTTTGTTGTCTCATTATGGTACATTTCAAGTATTAAAGCAATAAAAACATTTTTAAACTTCTATAAAAAAAAAAAAAAAAAAAAAAGAATGATACATTTTAAGAAACTTTGGTTGTAATACATTTTACAATTGTTTTCTTTTTTAACCAGCTGGAGTAAAATAGTGTTAAAAAAAATAGGAGAATAAATTTATTGAAACAAAACAAGTTCAGTTGACCACTGATGACAATTCCAGAACAACGTAACTATAAACAATATTTTTGCTATCCTCTGCCAGCCGCAATGACAGAGAAAGATTACCTTGAACCATAGCCAGTGAGACACGCTGCAAGATCCACTCCGTTTCATGAGGCTCGTCCTTTAATCAAGACACAATCGCGCCAATCCTCCGAAGGAACGTCATCGAATGAGGGCCAGTAACCCCTAAACCATCAGCAAGAGAAGAATATTTAACTATTTTTTTCATCTCTGCATCCCGGGCGACGGACCCCGGCTCAACCGTGGAACTGATCAAATCACCGACTGAAAATGTATCTGCACCGGTCGCATCCCAAATCAATGACTCCCCCATTTTAAAAGGGAAAATGGTAAGGCCATCCGGCCGCTTTCCATCACCGCGGTCGAGGCTTACGGGTGCAATTTGGGAAGGGAATCCAGCTGCATCCAAACCTCTTTTGATGATGTCGTTAATGGCAGCATGCCGTGGAAAGCGGCCGGCACTACGACGACAGGAGAGAGGATGCAAACCAAACTCATCTGTGACGCTCACATCATTTGAGTCCAAGACGGATCCCGACCCAGACTCGAGTGCACTCATCATCTAGAAGGGTACCGGTAGATGAAGAGGGCACTGCGTTGAGCCCGGCGCCACTACTCGGTTGTGAAGCAGATAGTAGACAGGCGAGGCAATGCTGATCCAGAGAGAGCCTCAAATTAGTAAAAGTGACCTTGCATTTTATTTTATCCCAGCTTTTTTGTTTTGATGTGTCTAGTGGGAGAGAAAAGTAATTCTTGGATCCAGATGCAGCAAGCTTGTTCGAAAGAACTATCCGAGAAAACAATAGCAAAAATACTTCATCTAAAATTCAATTTAGAAAGTTACTTGGGAGTAAAACAAAGATGGTAGAAGGGATCTAAGAGTAAGAAGTAGTGGAACAATTACTGCTTTGAATTCCACTAAATTATCAAATCTTCTATAGTGGTTGAGGTGATGTCCATGGAAAACAAGTTTCAAAGGTGATGGATACAAAATGGCAAACTCTTTGCAAACCAGATAATCTGTAACTAAGCTGTACTAAACAAGAACAAGATGACACAGACAGGTGCATAACAACAATCTTAAGAGTTACCTAGATTGACAGACATCTGAAAAAGGTCAGTGGGCATAACAGCCGAAACGTTTTGATAACAACAAAGACAAGAACAATAGTCTGAATGTAAATAATGATATCTTGTTCCAGAAATTCAAACAGAAATTTAATCAAAGCAATTCAATATTTTCATTATTAATTTTGTATGAGTATTAATTCCATTTTATTATTGTAGCTTTTTAACATGAGTCATTACATTGTGTTACTATTAAAGAAAAAAAGTGTCAAACAAGTATGAAGAATACCTTGAGAAACAGACATCACCTTTACCAATCAGGCTACAGAGAAGATAATGGCAAACCAGGTTCAAATTTACAATTATATGGCTATTTTTTTCTCATCCAATTGTTCATATATCGTTTCCTTTTTAAGTAGTAATAGTCTTAAGTCATCTAATTTCTTTGTTGGTGTATTTTCATGTTAAAATGAAATATATATTGCAGTAGTATATGAAAATGTAGTGAAAATAATCTCAAAATTACTACCAAAATAAAACCCTACCAAAGAGTTGGATACAAAAACACTACTTGACCCAGCTTTAATCACCTTGGATTTCTGAACATTGATAATCCCCTGACATCTGCCTCACATTACAACTGAGCTACAAATGAACCACACCACATGCTACACATCCCCATTGAGTCAAGGAAGTAGTTGGTAGGAGCAAAAGAAATGAGCTGCCAATTAGGAATTATGAGTACTTTTAAAATTTGGGGTTAACAAAAACCCCCCAGTGACTAAAACAGGGTTAAGTAGACTGGTTTTTTTAGAAGTTTTTTTTTTTTTAGATAATAATGATTTAGTGATACAAGATTTACTAATTAACCCATAGCTGGTGGGAAAAGATGTAGATTCATACCTTTCCCAGGGTATTTGTATGTAAGTGAATATAACGAACCCAATGGGAATTGAAACTTATCTCCAATTAAAAATTTTGAGCCATTATCCATTACACCACCCACACATCCAAACTTGCAGCACCTGACTTTTCCCAAACAGACACCCATATAGGTACTGACCAGACTTGACTTTGGTGATGATATGGTAATTGGCATTTTACTCTGATGTGGCTGGAAGTTAGGTTAAATAGCCAGTAGACTTGGCTCTCTAGATCTGGGTGGCAACCACTGAGAAGATCTACCCTTAATTCAAAACCATGAAGAAGCCGCTTGGAAATCAATCCACTATCTTTCCAAGAAGGCATGGTAATTTATAAATAATAAAAGGAAGCTGTGGAGAATCATGATCACCTCAGTTCTGAAGAAAAAAAGCAGCTATACTTAGCAAACATTTACACTTGGTGATTATAGCAAATATGTAAAGTTCAGAAATCTTATCACAATGAGCTTGGTATTGTGAAAATGCTGAACCAGCCAGTGAATAACACATCTGTATAAGCCATAACAATTTGTAACAATTGTGGCCTGTCGATAGTTGTTTCAATGGCATCTACACTTGTAATTGCAATTTCTCTTATTTCTAATGACATTAATAAGTGCATTCAAATAACACAAGATATGCTGAGATAAGTAAATAGTTCATAGATACAAAGGATATGGTTGTAGGGTGAGGGCATATACTTACCCGGACCAGGATGTAGCACATATGGTCACCTTCCATCCCCATATTAATAACATCATTTATGGCAGACAACAAATTACGAGTATCAGCATTTAGCTCCAGGGCCAGCACAAGGCTCTGAAAATAGAAGCAAGTGGAAATTGGGTAAAAGAAACTTTGGCAAGGGATTAATTTTTTTCTTTTATATGAGTAAGTGCCCTCTAAGAGGAAAATATGTTTTAAAATGAAGGAGAAATATGAGAAAAAGTAAGAATTTTAAAAGACGAGAGATTAAGACGGGAAAAACAGTAAGGTTAAAAAGAGTAAGAAAATTTACAAAGGGTAAGGAGTCTGGAGAGTAAGAAAAGCAGGGGGTGGAGGTAAGAGTTTTAAATTAGTAAGGAGAGGGTGATAAAGTTTAAAATATAGTTTAAAAGCATAAGGAGTGGGTGGGACTAGGAATGAGAAAAACACTAATGGAGAGGAGGAGGACCTGGGAGAAAGTCAGAATAACAAAAAAAGAGAAGAGAAGAGAAGGAGGAAGAAGACCCAGGAAAAAGAGTAAGAAAAACACTAAGTGAGGAGAAGGTGAGAATCAAAGAAAGAATGAGAAAGTCAATCAAGTGGAGGACACAAAAAATAGAGAGAGTCAAAGAAGAATAAAGGGGATGAGGAGGAGGACCAGGAGAAAGAGTCAGAAAAGTAAAGGAGGAGGAGGACCAGGAGAAAGAGTCAGAAAAGTCAGAAAAGGAGGAGGAGGGACCAGGAGAAAAGTCAGAAAAGTAAAGGAGGAGGAGGACCAGGGAAAAAGTCAGAAAAGTAAAGGAGGAGGAGGACCAGGAGAAAAGAGTCAGAAAAGTAAAGGAGGAGGAGGACCAGGAGAAAGAGTCAGAAAAGTAAAGGAGGAGGAGGACCAGGAGAAGGACCAGAAAAGTAAAGGAGGAGGAGGACCAGGAGAAAAAGAAAAAAGGAGGAGGAGGACCAGGAGAAAGAGTCAGAAAAGTAAAGGAGGAGGAGGACCAGGAGAAAGAGTCAGAAAAGTAAAGGAGGAGGAGGACCAGGAGAAAGAGTCAGAAAAGTAAAGGAGGAGGAGGACCAGGAGAAAGAGTCAGAAAAGTAAAGGAGGAGGAGGAGGACCAGGAGAAAAAAGTCAGAAAAAAGGAGGAGGAGGACCAGGAGAAAGAGTCAGAAAAGTAAAGGAGGAGGAGGACCAGGAGAAAGAGTCAGAAAAGTAAAGGAGGAGGAGGACCAGGAGAAAGAGTCAGAAAAGTAAAGGAGGAGGAGGACCCAAAAAAAAGTAAGGAGGAGGAGGACCAGGAAAGAGTCAGAAAAGTAAAGGAGGAGGAGGACCAGGAGGACCAGAAAAGTAAAGGAGGAGGAGGACCAGGAGAAAAGAGTCAGAAAAGTAAAGGAGGAGGAGGACCAGGAGAAAGAGTCAGAAAAGTAAAGGAGAGGAGGACCAGGAGAAAGAGTCAGAAACACTAAGGGGAAGGAAGAGGAGGAAACCGGAGAAAGAGTCAAAAAGGCAAAAGGGAGGAGGAACTGAGAAAAAGAGTCAAAAAATCTATAATGGGAATCGAGAGAAAGAGGGGAAAAACTATAAGGATAAAGAAGAAGAGGAACTGAGAGAAAGAGTCAGAAAAGCAAAGGGGTGGAGAACTGGGAGAAAGACTCAAAAAAACAAAGGCAAGGAGAACCCAGTAGAAAGAATGGGGAAAAACATTACAGAGATGGAGAGCTCAACAGGAACATTAAAGAAAAATTTTCAGTAAAATAAACATTTTTTTTTGGCAAATCTCAATTTAAAAAAAAAAAAAAAAAAAAAAAAAAAATAGAAGACCACCCAGTTTAAATTTGTTCCTTGCATCAAAAAAGGAAACTTTCAAGGTAAATGATTTCTATACTAATTAAATATTTTATATATATATATATATATATATATATATATATATATATAAAATGAACTCTTTGACTCAAGGACAAGGACTCAGTTGGCCATTCAGCCCCCTTTGTGAAAATATCTTAATAACCTTCCAATTACCAATTATTTCCAAGCAGATATAAATTTAACATCATTAATTCTTGAGCAGTTGATGAAAATTGGTGAACATTGCAATAGAAAAGAACCTGCTGAAGAAATTTGAAAATCTTTAAAGTGACCTTGAATAATT